AAAAAAACCATCACGTGATGTTTGCTACCTTGCGTGTCGAGTAATGACGGGATGTATCAGAGGAGGTTGTGATATAAGTACTACATGGGAGGGGAGAGATTGCAGTGCTTTTGCAAATGAATGGAGGGTAATCAGTCTTGGTGGAGTAGGAGCGAGGCAATAAAAGAAAGGTGGTGGCGAACATTTTGAATAGATCAAGTCATCGGGTCTATGCAATCATTGGCTGCCCCATCAAGCAGCAGCACGAGACTTCCCTATGTTTCTCCGGTGTGTCGTAGCCATGTTGTATGGTATCCTTCAGCAAGGGCAGCAGCAGCATCAGTGAGTAGTACACATCTTCGTGTTGAGCAGTAGTGGTGGATCTTATTGGTGTGGTACTCGACGAGAGACACTTTGTGTCCAACCAGCACACTCACACACCTGGATTCGATTGTGCAGCAGAAGAAGAAGTTGATGTCAGGCTTACGGTCAATGTGGAAGAACAGCAGTGCGCGAACTCGATACAGCCTTCCCGCCAAGCCTCAAGTCCTATCGGAGAGAGTTATGTATGTGGCACCACGGCAGGGATCCAAAATGCCGGCTACTCCGCATACAAAGGGAGGCTGGCGGTGGGGATCAGACTGAGTGTGCGTGCTGCGCTCAACCTGACCGGCTGTTTTGTAGATTTGGAGACCGTTGAGGCTGTGTATTTTCATTATTTTGGTCTGAAGAAGAGCTCAAGCCATCCGTACTCTTCAAAAAATATTCTTGTTAACTGGGCCGTCGCACCCTGTTGGTTTTCCTACTTCTTGCTAACAAAACAAAAACCAACAACTCATTACGCGTTGTCCCGAAAACATGATGTGGCGAAAATTGGTGGGAGTTTTCGCACTCCGGGACTCCCTGACTCGCTCCCTGTGGTCATAATCCTCCAGCAGCCCCAACGACCGCGCCTTCATCGTCCGTGCTGCACGACTCCAAAATGAAGCTTTGCTAGGGGGTGGGTACCGTAAATAGGTGGAGGATTGGCGGTATTTCTTGGTCGACACACTCCCATAGCTATGTACCCCGATTCGCCCCGGTGGTCTAGTGGGTAGCCTCGCAGCCTGCTAAGGGCCAGGTCATGGGTTCGAGTCCCGGCAGAGAGAGTTTTTTTCTCACTAAATAAATCCTGGTCTAGGATGAAAGCGACGCGCTGCAAAGCTCGTTTGTTAGTAAACCATAATCGACTTCGTAAGTCGCGAGGGAAGGGATTGCTGTACCCTTCTCGCGATAAAAATACCTCAGGCATGAACCGCAGGAGGGGGTCCAACCCCCCCCTCCTATGTGACCCCGGTTGGGTCGTCTAGCTAGTAGAAGTGGAGGATAGGGGCCAGAGGGGCAGACGACAGAGTCCAATGATGGGAGAAAAAAAAAAAAAAGCTATGTACCCCGATTCAATGTGTATGGGGTATCGGTCGCTACTTCTTTCATAATGACAACACACATCTTTTATTTCGTGGCCAAGATTGGGAGTTTCCAATAACCGGACCCGTTCTGTACGCATGTGGCGCAACTCAGAACGAGACAAATAGCGCTGGTACTCCTGGATGACCACAGGACCAAGGGTTGGTGGTTGGGGATTAGAGTGTGAGAGAGAGGCGACCTGGCTATGTCTCTCTCGAGAAAACAATTACAGCATCTGTTGGTGTGTTTGGATACTGACAGGTTAATCTACCGGCAACAACAGAGGGCACGCAGATGGGGCATATATATGTACACCTTGAAATGGTTGCATGTGCGGGAACCCCTCGAACTCCAAATAGGGCTTCACTTCCCACTACTCCCCTTGCGTGTCTAATGCAAGAGATATAACGTCTTCCCCTTCCAAGTAAAGGACATACACGAACACACCATTGTCAGTCCCTCGACGGAGAGTCCATTAGGAATGTCAGGTCGCAAAGATGGGGGTGACTCCTCCAGCGACTCTGCGGCGGAAGACAGAAAGAGGTCAAGAGAAGAGGAAGAGCTCGTGGCCCTGAGGACGAAAGTTAGCTCGCTGACGGATCAGATGAGCCAGCTAATGTCGCCAGTGGAAGATACCATGAAGGCAAGCAAGGAGGAGGAGCCAGCTGGCACCATGGTGGGTGCCGCTGATCGCGGCGATGCTAGGGAGAGCGCCGCCGCGGAGTCCACGAACGCCGAAGGAGGGGCACCGTGGACCGGGAGTGCGCAGGGCGGGAGGCACATGCGCAAACCTGTTCGAGAGTCTGGCCCGTCAGGGCGACACAGCGGCGAAGCAGGGGGCTTTGTCCCCCAAGAGGTGAGAGTAGCCGCTGCTCTCAACCAAGGTTATAGTAGTGCCATGGGAGATGGTGGTGCTGCTGTTGGCTTTGGATACGGAGCCACAACCCCAGCGACGGGGTACCAAAATGTGCGATACAGTTCTCCTCCGTTCAGCGGGAAATCGAAAGATTTCAACGAATATCTTAATGATTTCCGCATGGCAGCTAATGGCGCAAACCTGTTGGAAAATTTGAAGAGAGCGGGAGCTCGGGGNGAACGCCGAAGGAGGGGCACCGTGGACCGGGAGTGCGCAGGGCGGGAGGCACATGCGCAAACCTGTTCGAGAGTCTGGCCCGTCAGGGCGACACAGCGGCGAAGCAGGGGGCTTTGTCCCCCAAGAGGTGAGAGTAGCCGCTGCTCTCAACCAAGGTTATAGTAGTGCCATGGGAGATGGTGGTGCTGCTGTTGGCTTTGGATACGGAGCCACAACCCCAGCGACGGGGTACCAAAATGTGCGATACAGTTCTCCTCCGTTCAGCGGGAAATCGAAAGATTTCAACGAATATCTTAATGATTTCCGCATGGCAGCTAATGGCGCAAACCTGTTGGAAAATTTGAAGAGAGCGGGAGCTCGGGGATCCCCGTCAACAGCGGAAAGGGCAAGTTTTCGCTGTCACAGCAGTACCGGAGCGAGCAAGTAGAGCTCGCATTCCCCGCGTGGAACTTCCGGTTCACGTGTTGAAAGAAAAGATCGGAAAATCATGAAGAAGGCAGAGACGCCCCAGAGNGAGGTGAAAACCCCCAAAACGCCCAAAATGAGATGCTCCAAACCGCAAAGTCTTTAACCGAAAAAGCACTAACTGTCAACGAAACGTTCGTCCTTCACCTCTTCCTGGATGCCCTTTCGGACGAGTATGCCATGACAAATCACAACCTGCGACACGCGAAGGAGTTGACGCGGACCGGTGTGCTAAAGGAAGTAATGATCGAATACAAGGCGATCAAGGACAAGCTGGAGCAGGGGAAAGGAAACAGGGCGAAGGGCGCAGAGCAAGCGTACTTCGCCGACGGTGAGGGCCGCAGGGAGCGGTACTCAAGTAGGAGTCAGGGGCAAGGTCATGGTCGTGGCGGCGGCCGTGGCCGCAGCAGCACTCGTGGCCGCGGCGGAGGCGGTCGCGGCGGCGGCCGCGGCGGCCGCTCAGGCGGATCCGGAGGAGTCGAGGAGAACAAGGGAAGCAGCAGTGGAGGCGCCGATGGCGGCGGTGGTGGGGACTATAAGTTCTCGGGCTGGTGCTTTAGGTGTGGACATCGTGCACGTCAAGCGATCGGCTGCACTACCAACTAGAAGGACTTCGTGCCGTGGTGTGCGCGCGGCGAGGGGTGGGGCCACACCAAAGAAAGGGGCGCGACGGAGGAGGCCGTCCTAGCGCAAGTGGGGGAGCATGAGAGCGACGTGGACTCCGTGGAAGACCAGGCGTTTTGTGCCGTGGCAGTCCCCCCAGGCGAGTGTGGTACCGTTGGTGAAGTAGGTCTAGTGGGGGTCGTGGAACAAGGCCAGGCGGTGTACGTGGCCGACAGAGCGGCCACGTGCTCCATGTTCCGATGTGCAGACAACTTCGTGAACTACCGTGAGCGTGGCGGTTGGGTGAAGGGGATCGGAGGCGACAAGGCCCCCGTTCCTCTTCTAGGATACGGAGATGTGACCTTAGTCCTGCAGACGGAAGATGGTGGAGTACCCGTACCAGTACTGAATGATGCCCATGTACCAGAGGCCCCCTACAACCTCCTCTCGCTGTTTTCATCGGCGGAGGAGGGCCACACGTATTCGGGGATGAAGGGGGGCCTTACGCTGACCACGAAAGCCGGGGGGAAGGTGTGGTTCCCCCGGACTGGAAAGCTGCTGACCCAACGAGGCTATCAAATAAAGCCAACGCTACACATCGCCTGTGCCGCACTCATTGTTCCTGGCGATGCGAAAGCAGCCAACCCCACTGACCTCAACGACTACCACCTCGCGCACGGCCATGCACACGAGACATTGCTCAGGATCACGGCGGAGCAGCAGGGAGTGCAGCTGACGGATGGACCGCTGCTACCCTGTCTTGGCTGTTCGATGTCCAAGGGACAGGTGAAACCCGTCCAGAAGAGCACGAGCACACGCGCAGTTAAGAAGTTATTTCGCGTGTATCTCGACTTGGGGGGAAAGATGAAAACCAGGAGCATTGGTGGCAACTGGTACACACTGATCATCAGAGCCGATTTCTCCCGTTGGACGCGTGTTTTCTTCTTGAAGCACAAGTCTCACGCAGCGGTTGGGTTTGAGAAGTTCCTGGCGGACTACCGAACGAAAGGGGTTCCGTGTGAGGT